TGCAAACTTGCAAGATCGAGCAGTCTTTGCAATGTGGTCTTTGAAGGTCAGTTGGTCATCAAAGGTTACACCAAGATTTCTGACCGAAGTTGATAGGGTAAATGTAGAAGAACCTAGCTGGATGGAGAAATCATACTGTAGAGTTGGAGTGGCAGGGAAGACAAGAAGCTCAGTCTTTGCCAGGTTGAGCTGTAGGTGATATTCTTTCATCCATGCCGAGATGTCCGCCAGGCAGCCTGAGACCCGTGCAGCTACCATTGGATCATCTGGTTGAAATGAAAGCTAGAGCTGTGTGTCATCAGCATATTATAGAAGTGGTGGGAGGTGGTGGAGGGGGACAGAGGAGAGAATTGAAAGTTTTGAAGAGATTATGTGTGTCTGGAGCGCTGTTGACAGATGACAGGCTACAAATGAAGTGGTAATGGAATACACTGCAGATAAACAAAATATCTGTGCACTGATTTTTAAATGCATCCATGATAACATGTTTGCACAAACAGAAAGTAGGCTACTTTAATTTGATTATGATTAAAGACAATGTTTTATGAATTGGTCTCAGAGTGTGAGAAGTCCTTTGGATTACCCCTAAGTTATCCCAGACAGGTGCTGCTTTTAGTGCAAAATATTCTCCTAAATTGGCCTGTTATGAGCTACTTTTAGCCCTAGGGTTCTTTGTGTATACAGACCCTGATTGTATATTATGTAATCTGTGTACACTTTTGAGAGACAACACTTACTCGCCACTCATCCTCAGATTTGACAGCCACCACGTGTCTGGACCAGGAGGTTGGGACTACGGACGGTCCAGAATCAAATCTTAGCCCTCTTCCTACAGGACAAGGTGTTGAAGCGTACAGACCTTCTTACCATAGCCCTGTTATTCCAGCTCACCGTATGCTGTCAGTAGGAAGAAGAACGAGAGAATTTGGTATAAATTAGACCAAATAGTGAACTGGCAGCTAACGTTAAATTAACTAGAGTTAGCATAAGCTGCCAGTTTGCTATTCTCTCATTTTTCTTCCAACCTACAGCACTTGGTGAGCTTGAACCACAGGGCTCTGGTTTAAGCTCTTTTTCCCAGATCTTTATTTTGACCTAATTGTATATTATGAGACAACGCCATCTCTCCACTCATACCCAGATTCCACAGCCACCACGGTTATGGACCAGGAGGCTGGGACTACGGTCGATCCAGAACAGGATTTAAACCTTCCTCCTACAGGACAAGGTGTTAAGCTCTTCAGCTTTTTTTGTGTTCTTTATCTTTTCAAGAATATGCTTGAGCATCAAATCTCTATATGTACTGTACAAAGTCTATTTGTCTATCTAGGGACAAGACGAATTCGGAGGAAGAAAGGTGAATTTAAATGTGACAAAGCTAATATTCTGCAATCTTTTACATTATCAACACAGAGTATGAATTGATTCGTCATGCAGGTCTTCCTAATATTATTGGTTTAGTTAATGTCTACATAAATTGTATGCATAGTGTATATAGATGCATTTACAGATACCCAAAGTTGTGGCGTTAAGCCACACCAAAAATATTTATTCTCTAATTTGTGTTTGGTTTTTAATTTTCTTTTTGGCTACATTTGCATTTGGCTTGTCTTCTATCACTACTGTATGTACTTATCTTACACAGTTGGAACTAAACAGAAAGATTGCCCCCACAACAACTGGGAGGTGCACCCATAATAGGGCATTATCCGGACAAGGCAGAGAAAGGTAGGACTGCAGATGCTTGATTATGTGACAGTTGCTATACTTACAGACAATATTACCTCCATGCAATCAGAATATGGAGCATAATGTTGGGGAATATTCCTGTTAACATCTTTAATCATTATTCGGAATAAATCTGCAACCCCATTGTGTTTATAAAAGCTTAATGCAATGAGTTTACGAGCAAAACATTCATTTTTTCTCAGCCACTAAAGGCTCCTTCACACTTTTTGCAGTTCATAGAATTTTTTGCAAACCTTTCACATGCTCACACTACAAGAGCTACTTGGGCCTATTGTATAGATAGTTGCTCTACAGTTCCTATACGTGTTTTAGCTCTTACCTTGGGGTATGGTCTTCTCCCTGGGCCTATGAACCATGACTCACAATTTCAATTGATTAGTCAAGCAGCACAATAGCCAACTCGGCCAAGGCAGCAGAATGACTATTTTCTAAATCCATGTAGCCCAAAGACGAATGCTGCCCGTTACTTTATTTTATAACCTATTCAAGTAAAATAATGTTGTATTTCTATAGCACATTTAAAAACAACAGTAGTTGACCCAACGTGCTTCAAAACACAAGCAATGATTAGACATATATTTAACACAAATTTTATTTAATAACCTGAATACATAGATTATGGCTTTTTCTGAGTTATTCTAAGTTCTTGGGGTCAATAGGAGCTTTCAGGCACAATAGTTCTATGAACACGGTTCTTGGAACCAATGCCTTGGAAGGATACCCCAGTTACAGTTCCATTGTGTAGTCTGGGTAGTTTGTACAATTTGTTGCAATTATTTGAAAACCACACTAAAGTTAGTAAGAAATTAGGATGTTTTAGGAGAGGGCAACTAGATTTTATTGGTATAAAATTGGTATCTCTCAAACAATTGTGCATTGCTCACAAAGATACAATAAGATTGCAAATTAAATAATGGATATCATTGCAAAGTTGATCACCTATCGTTTAATGTTGTCACTCATTCAATGAGTGTTCAAGTTAAAGGTACGTTGTAAATGTGTGTGCAGTATTTCTTGTGAGTAACACATTTTCCATGTCTTTTTTTGCCTTTCACAGGGAAAGACTGAACACCTGTATGATTGGGTGCCCTGCGAGCTATGGTGAGTTAATTATCCTTGGTTATTCAAAATAAAATTGTAGCGTTCCTGCAGGAAAGGGGGGGGGGGCACTGACTGGGGCCCTCAGAAACCACTTAGTATTATGTTTTTACATAAAACCTTGCATTGAACAGACAAAAGCTGCCCAACATACAATAGACACAGTATACCCTTTATCATATTGGATGTGCACAGTATGGGTTTGAGTAAAGTTATAAAATATTGTTCATAACCTATCCTGTACACCGTACCATTATTGACTTTATACAGCTGTTTGGTCCCCTTTAATGACCTTATGGCCTGATTTGTCCAATGGGAAATGCATATCACATTGCATTATCAATGTTTTCCAGTCTTTGTAATCTACTGTAAATAATGCTATCATATTTCTACCAGGTTATGAGTAATTTTAACCATGTCTTTTTCTCAATAATTCTGAAGTAGTAGTGTAGTGACTTGAGATTTTGATGCTGGAACGTTTTGTAAATTTCTTAATTCTGTCTTGAGTTTCAATCTAAAAGTGTAGTGTAAATATAACAGCTTTGAATGTGAAGTCATTATTCATTACTTTTTCACTAATCATCTATCTCTTGTCTTTTTTTTGTGAGCCTCCAACGTGGCCTCCAACTTGGGAGGCTGGTTGATACTTTCAGACACGCATTTACTCACTCCAGCTCTGCCAAATCCTAACATGATCCTCATGTGAGATAGACACGACCCTCTTTGAACATGTTCTCTCTTGCTCTCAGAAAGCTTTCAGACACGCACACTCATACTGACACAAATACAGTGTTGAATTTTGATGTTTATTTTAACTTGTTAAGTATGTCTTATTTTAATAAAGATTTGTCTTTACTAAGCTTTCCCATTAGTTTGTCATGTCTGTAACATCACTCAAGTGATATCAAGTAGAGTTTGTTGAGTTGTCTTTTGTAATTGTATGATGTAAGTAATAAAGACTTGAATGGATATCCCTTAGGGACAGATAATATATTTTATTATATATAAACAGTCAATATATTAAAGAATTTTCATTATATTGGTAATTATATAGAAAAGTACATTGTGGTAATATATTTAAATATACTGAATAATACATAAGGAATTGCTGCTTTCCATATATTGGGCAATATATGTCAACATATATGGTGCTCATATAGTCACATGTATATGGGAGTATGTATTAACAATATATGAACACAATTCAATGTAAATATATATTTGAATATATGGAATTATATATTTGTAAATATATAAATATTGGCTACACATATAATTTAACATATATGCAGTATAATGTAATATATACCGACAGCAAGACACTGATTAGTACTGCATCGCATGTCTTCCATGAGAAGAGGAAGGGGTAGTTGTTTCTGGTTACTGTATGATGATTGAAATCGTGCAATGGCCGTAAAAATTAAATACACTGCAGAACAATATGTTTTCTAATACACGCATGAATTGCATGTGTTCAAACAGCGCTGCACAAGCGCGCGCCGGGGTCTCGTTAGCCAGGGTTCAAAGTCCGAACCGCGAGGAAAATTTTTTACAAGGCATGCGACAATGTGATACGTGCATCTTCCCAAATTAGTAATGAGAATATTTTATAAATCTGCTGCTGTCAATAAAAATAAGCATTTTGAGGCTATATCACCTATCAGGCTGTTTTGTGCGGGTTTTTTATTTCTCTTTTCTTTTTTTTGTCGATGTGAATGAGCTAACATTAGCTAACCATCTTTCCTTTCACCGTGTTTCTGAAAATGTGTGTTTTGCCGTCAAACTGAAGAGGTGACTCCGCTCAAGAAACATTAATTCTGTTCAGCTAGCACGACGAGGTAATATCTTTTATCCAGAAATGCAGCCTTATGTCTGTAACATAGCCTAATGTTTTACAGACGTGGTTACTAAACTGCAGTGTTACAATACCCTGGCTAATAAGATAAATTGAGTCATGAAAGTGTAGGCCTGTAATTTAACTGTAACAGCTATGATAAATACGTCTTAGTCGTGACCCATGAGAGTGAGTGGTTTTCAGCTTACACACACACATTATATATATACAGTGGGTACGGAAAGTATTCAGACCCCCTTAAATTTTTCACTCTTTGTTATATTGCAGCCATTTGCTAAAATCATTTAAGTTAATTTTTTTTCCTCATTAATGTACACACAGCACCCCATATTGACAGAAAAACACAGAATTGTTGACATTTATGCAGATTTATTAAAAAAGAAAATCTGAAATATCACATGGTCCTAAGTATTCAGACCCTTTGCTCAGTATTTAGTAGAAACACCCTTTTGATCTAATACAGCCAGGAGTCTTTTTGGGAAAGATGCAACAAGTTATTCACACCTGGATCATTCTCAATCACACTAACATTAGTTATCTTAAATGACATGTTTTCTTTTTAATTTCAGGTCACAATGTTGATAAAAGTGCAACGTGGAGGGAAGAAGAAGTATATAAAACTGGAAGAAGTTTGTTTCTCAGATTTTCTTAGTGCAGGTGAGTTGTATATGTAGTATTTAGTTAATAAAGAGTAAGTAGCAGTAGTTTTGTCATTTCTTTTGTAAATAACCTGTTGGTGTTATGGTGTAGTCCAGCAGAAGTTTCTGATACCAGAGAATACAACATTGAAAGTCACAGATGACCAGGGCATAGATGTGGATGAGGATGTCTTTCCAGAACTTGCAACAACCAAAGAAATGTGTTTTATCATCCACACTGATGATGGTAGGACATTAAAAGAATGTTTGTTTTGTTTTATAGATATTTTCTGAGTTTGTGTCTTAACTCGGAGACAAACTGTGCATTTCAGAACTTCCATTTGCTGAAACATCCAAGAATTCTGCTGACTTCTCAGACCTGACAGAGTTTGGTGCCTCTTCAAATCAGACAGAATATGTTACGCTCACTACATGTGGTAAGCAGAGTTATTTGTAATGTGGTGATTTTGTCTGACCCTGGATATATCCACCCTGGTACATAAGAGTTTTGCTGAAGAAACTCTTAGATTGTATATGCCTTATACTGTGTTGTTTTTGTGATATTCAGATTTGACTGTCCTGCAGCAAGGGGTTGTTGAAGGGCCCTCTGACAGATACATTGTCTGTCTCAAGCAGTTTAAGCAGCAGTGATTCTGGATCTCAAATGCTTCAACCTTTAACGGACAGTTTCCATGCAAGAAATGTAATTTTATAATTTTTTTTACTTCCATACAAATAGATCTTATGCTATAGACATAAATATAGACATACATACGAAAAGAAATGCATTTTGAAAGTATTCAATGGTATGTACGGTTATTAGATTAAGATTAATTATTGTAATTTTTCTAAATGTTTTCTTTTAGAATATTAAGCAAATTCTAACTTCAAAGACAGCAGGGATGACTGTGATCAAAGAGTATGAAGACACTGGGAGTTTGAAAGATTCCACAAGGCGGATAATGGTGAACATAATTGTAGCTCACATGCATGGAAAAGAAGGGTAAGAAGCTTCAAGACATGACTTTATCCTTAAAAAAAAAAAAAAAAAATCAGACAAGAATCTTAAGACATATGTTTTCATCTTTGCAGGAGAGCTGTTAGTAAAGCAACAAAGGAGTTCCATGCCCTTGGGATTGTGTCCCTGTTCCCGTCTTTGAAAGACCCATATTCTAAAAAAGGATTTGTAAGTTTGCCTACCGAACCATAAACATCTTATTTGCTCTTGAGTCACTGTAATTGCATTATTTTGTCTAACATAAGATACTGCTTCCTCCCAGGAACATTTCTATGACATTCAGAGCAACAAAGGCTTTCTTGAGTGGCGTATAAAGACCGTGCAACGTAAAT